TGTATGCAGAAAACAAAAAAACAACATAATTATTGGTAAACCCACTCCAAATAAAGTAAAAGCTGCTTTAGTTCTAGTTTGGCAGCAAAAAAGCCACAAAAAAGCAGAAAATAAATGCAACAATGGACATCATCAAAGTGCTTGAACCAGAAGAGCTGGGATTCTCTAATATACAATGAGAAAGATTCTTAATCAATAATTGCAATGTTCATTGACTTACCAATTACATTAAGTTCAAATTGTGCACTGTCAGTTCCTGCAGGATTACTAGCTAAACAAGTGTAGTTTGTATCACTATCAGATACAGCTACTTGTGCTATGCTGAAGGTACTGGTCACTATATAAAGCAAAGTTGAGTCATTGAGATAAATAGAGTTAGAAAAAGTAACAGAATCACTGGCCATTATAAGGTTACCACTTTTATACCATGTGATATCAGGAGCTGGAATTCCAGTACCAACGCATTGGAATGAGACCTGGGATTGCTCTCTGACGGTATATGCTTCATCCGTTATCAATATACTAGGCCTTACATACACACTGAGGGTAGCTGTACTGTTAACAGAACCTAGAGCATTACTAACAATGCAAGAATAGTCAGCAATATCTGATGGAGCAGTATTTGCTATTGTTAGTGCAGTATATATAGTTGATGGAAGTGTGACACCAGTTTGGCGAGCGTATTTACCACTCAAATACTCTTCAAGAGTGATAGCACGATTGTTCTTTGTCCATGTTATAGTTGGTAAAGGTCCACCTCTAGCTCCGCAAGTAAAAACGGCATCAGTTGGTGGAGTGACAGCAGTATTGCTAAGATCCTGAAGAAAAAATGGAGCAACTATTAAAAAAAGCAAAATAATATGGTAATGCAGTGAGAAATCAACTTACATTCAACCTCAAGATTAAATCCAACAGAAAAAGTATTTAATTGATTGCTACCAACGCAATAGTAGGTATAAGCAGAGTCCGGCGAGACATTAGCTAATGTTAGTGTACTAGTCACCTGATACTCATTGTCATGTGCCATTGTAATAGAGGTAGGCATGAATCCTGTACTATTAGAGAGATTCCTGCCATAAAATGTCCAATTTATTGTTGGTCGCTCATTTCCAGACATTGTGCAGGTAAATGAAGCAGTGCCATATCGTGGCACGGAAACATCACTTGATCTTGATACTAACCTAGGGCCAACTATTAAAAAAAGTATTGATTTGTATTAAAAATAAAAGTATCATATACTTACAATATACAGTCAGGCTAAACATCAAGGATGAACTACCATCACTGTTGCTAGCATTACACCAATAATCATCTCTACCATCAGCCACTGATGCATTGATCAGCGTTAGAGATCCCGAAACAGTATAGATCATTGTTGATGAGTTGAATGTCTCATTCTGTGATGCGATGAATCTACTCGTGTCATTAATAAGAGATCCATTCCTAAACCAATGAATGGCAGGTTCTGGAGCTCCAGTACCAGTACACTGGAATGTAACTGAATTAGATTCATCAACAAAGTATGAAGACATTTCTGATGACACAGTAGGAGCTACAGCTACATAAAAATTGAGTGTAAATATTTTATAAGTTTTTTCTTTGTCATCATTAATAATACAATAATAATCACCAGAATCTGATGGCGTTGTGTTTAATGAATAGCATAAAAAGTGGAACAATTATTACAACAATGTAACACATGTAAGTTAAATAAAAGAACGTACAGTAGTAAGCTGTAATTTTACTTCACTGTCAAAATATGAAACATTAAAAACACTCACATATATTAACACCAAAATAGAAGAAAAAGGAACTACAATAGACCTACAAAAAGAATTCCAATGTCACTCACCACTTGCTGGATGCTGCAATAGGCAGTAGTAACACAACACGAGAAACAGTCGTTGCATCCTTGTCAAATGTATTTTAAAATGATGAAACTCCTTATAACGAGAAACACTAAGCTGCAAGCTGAGCTGTACTGTTAGTCTGGGCCCACCCCTGCAGATCTGGTGATATGATGACACTTGCAGAAAGGAATGCAATAATTATTATTAGTAGTTATTTTAGTTATAAAAATTTGATCTACACTATAATCTAATGATACTAGTCATACTACATAATAATTAAAGTTAGTTCCAAGCCTCAGGTACTACCCAGTACCACAATACCTCCTGACAATGTGAGCAATGTCAGTGTTAGTAAGCCACGCCTCCCTGCCAACACGCCTAGGGTTCACACGACGATTACGAATCCTCATAGCAGGCCCTCGTCCATTGCTGTGAGAGTAGACCCCATAATGCATCACCGAGTAATAGTCGTATGGTAGACCAAGCGTCTTTGCATGTCGTTCCCTTCTGTACTGACTTCTCACTAAAGAAGAATCATAATATGTAATAGTTACCATTCTTTGCAGTTTTAATACAAATAAATGTAAAAATGGCTCACTGTGATGTCTAATGTTGTTCCAGTATATTTGTACGTATCTGTCCCTATCATATCTGTTTTGCTCATGGATTCGTCCCAGAGCATGGAATAACTCGTGGGCTGGTGTACGAGGAGAGGTGCAGCTGGAACTAAGATGAATGAAGTGTCTTTTACCACGAACTGGACCAAGATGAGTGTAGCAACTATAAGAATGAATAAAACAGAATTATATATGATAATATAATTAGAAATAAAATGAAAATTTCTCTTTTAAAAATTATTTTAAAATAATATATTTTACCGATTTTTGTGTCCCTCAATAAACACGATGTACTTCTGACGAACAGGACGACGAATAAGATAAAATCTAACACAACGTTGTCTCCTGTTGATGTCATTAATTGAAGCAACAATGAACTGCTGGAGACGTCTATCTATGATAAACAGCATAAGGGCATCATTATGTATCAAAAAATGTAATAAAAATTTGGAGTGATTTTAGAGCCATTTTTTGGAAAAAAACCATGGACTATAGCCTTGGGTATTTTTCAGATTTTTGATGTTTTCTTAAAATGGCCGTAACTTGAAAAATTGAAGTCAGAATCACCTCAAACTTTCTACACAGCATAAGGGCAACAATATGTATCAGAAAATGTAATAAAAATTTGGAGTGATTTCAGAGCCATTTTTTGGAAAAAACCATGGACTATAGCCTTGGGTATTTTTCAGATTTTTGATGTTTTCTTAAAATGGCCGTAACTTGAAAAATTGAAGTCAGAATCACCTCAAACTTTCTACACAGCATAAGGGCAACAATATGTATCAGAAAATGTAATAAAAATTTGGAGTGATTTCAGAGCCATTTTTTGGAAAAAACCATGGACTATAGCCTTGGGTACTTTTCAGATTTTTGGCATTTTTTTTAAATGGCCGTAACTCGAAAAATTAAAGTCGGAATCACCTCAAACTTTCTACACAGCATAAGGACATCAATATGTATCAAAAAATGTAATAAAAATTTGGGTTGATTTTGGAGCCATTTTTTGGAAAAAAACCATGGACTATAGCCTTGGGTATTTTTCGGATTTTTAACGTTTTCTTAAAATGGGTGTGACTGGAAAAATTGAACTTGGAATCAGCTCAATGTTTCTGCATAGCATAATAGGTTGTCATATATCATGACCAAAAATAAAGATGTACTTTTCAAATATATCCCAACAGGTATCTTTCTTGGCCAGCGCCTAACGTTCCTCCAAGCTTCAGAGTTCACTAGACCACTGAGACCTTCTGCTTCATACAGTGGTAGCTTCTCTCTCTCAATCAGCATGTCACCTCCAACAAGAGCCATTCCAACTATAATTAGCAAACAAACAAACAAACAAATAACAATAAACAGTTATTATTATATTGTACCTGGTATTCCATTCTCATCAAGTTCAGGCTCTGGAAACTCTCCACCCTGAGCATCAGCTAAAATAGAAATGCTCTAAACTATGAGACTTTCAGAATATCATCCTTCACTTACCTAGGGTATATTCCCTAGCAACTGTGACTGCACTAACTGCAGCAAATACAAGTATCGGTAATAAAGAGTGCATCATGCTTCACCCTGGAGATACCTTCAATGGAAGGTTAACTGCTAGTGTGTATCTGTCTTTATATACTTATATTGAATCCATGTACAAGACTCCAGTATACACTTATGAAGTTGATATGGAATAGTCACAGTAGAGATGATTATCATGTAAAATCTCAAGGAACTATACATCCTTTAAGAGAATCTCTACTCTGTCAAGACTGACAGCCAACTATTAGCCATTACATAGAAAAGCAGCATAAGGAGAGCTAGCCTAGCATAATTGGATTATGAAGAATGAGTCTGACCTCATGCTGCAGTTGATAGATGTACATGTAATATAAGGTTAAATCACAAGTGAATATCACAATACAATCAAACAACAACAAAGTTGAAAACTAAATAGAAAGAGGGAGAAGAATGCATGACATTATGAAGAGGTTCAGTTACAAACATCACAAAAACAGTCATCATTAATTATCTCTTACGTAGATCTAAAACCTGGTATTTAATAATAATAATAATAATAATGATAATAATAATATAATAATAATAATGATGCCACTAGCGTGAGTAACAAACAGGACCTAGTTCTACTCCAAGAGATTCCTTCCCTTGACCCGAGAGATACAGACTCACATCAACAATCGGTAGTTGTGATGGTCTGTTAGTCTTTAAAGCATATATAGCTGAGCCTTTAACAGATCCTGCAGACTAGAGAGGAGAAAAGGAACACTTTTCATAGTAAAAAACACAACAAAAGATGTCCAATTCATCATTAACTTTATCTGTTATGTTTTAAGCAACCCTGTCACTTTGATCTTCAGGCAATACTGAAATACTTCTTTCATTTACATTGCATGGATAACATGTTACTTAAAGTAATCACCAACTGTACAATAGAATTGACTGATACTGTATGGTGAAGAGCTTATTTACCAAATACTAAGTGTCTTAGTGATTGTATTAGTATGTTAAAATCAATCTCATGGATACTAACCGAGCAGCTATTGTGTAACAGTGATACAGAGTTACTGTTTGAGTTGAATAGAGATCCTTTCTTGTAGCCAGAGAAAGAAACATGAAGCTCCTTCAGTCCCTGACAATGCATTGTGATCCTTTGGTTAGCTTGCAAACTGGACATTTGGAGTAGCTTCAATTGAACTGTGTTAATATCATAAGAGAACTAGAACAGAATCAATATCTATTGCATCATATAATTCATCTTACTGATCGACCGGTTACATTGGACATTTCTAAGTATTTCTGTCCACCTATATCAAACCTCTGCAATGGTACTGGTAGCTAATAGAAGATAATAAAGTTACTGAACAATATTATTATTATTATTATTATACCAACCATATCAACAGCATCAATGCAAGTCGTACAGGAGCCATCTTCAAAATCACACATGACCTTGAAACCATCAGACCAACTCCCTCCATTAGGATCAATATAATAAGGACCTGGACCAGATAGCAGCAAGATATGCTTTAATTGGAGTAGGAGACATGATAGTACCTGTTCTGGCATGAGGGTAGTCATGTTTTAGATCGCAGCAGGATCTTGCAGGGAACTGTCTGTGCCCGTTTGGTTTCTTGACCAGCTGTACGGTTTTTGTAATATTGTCTAGTTGAACCATTAGTGAAGCCGTCTACAGTCAATATAAATAATAATTATAAAAGAAGGACACAGTAAACATACTGATCCTTGGAATTCGGGACTGCCTGATAAGTAGAATATCTTCCCTGAAGACTACAAAATTATTATTATTATTATTATTATTATTATTATTATTATTATTTATTCATTAATTCATTGTGTCCCTTACAGTGATCTTGTTGTCTCCAGGTTCTCCCTAAAAGGAATATGGTATCAACTAATGCTGGATCACGAGGTTCAATTACTTTTTGACCTTTCCTTCCCTTTTGACCTTTGGTTCCCTGGTTGAGTATAAAATGACTCAAAATGAATTTAATTAATGGCTCACCTCATCACCTTTTCCCCCCTTTAGATAAGGAAAAAAATAAAATTAAAAAAATGAATGAATTTGTTGTTTTATTTAACTTACAGCTGATCCAAATGCTCCCTAAAACACAAAATAAAATAAATAAATAAATAAATAAATAAAATAATGACTAGCTTACATCAGCTCCAATCCTGCCATCTTGACCAGCTCGTCCTGGTGTCCCTTGCTCACCCTAAACACAATGAACACATTACAGCTCCAGTACAATACAGTATAATCATGATTAGAACTGCATTCACTGATTCATACACTGATTCATACACTGATTCATACTATACATTGATTCATACACTGATTCATGATTCATACACTGATTCATACTGTACATTGATTCATACACTGATTCATACTATACATTGATTCATACACTGATTCATACTGTATTGATTCATACACTGATTCATACTGTACATTGATTCATACACTGATTCATACTATACATTGATTCATACACTGATATTGTTCTTACGGAGGGTCCTTTAGGTCCAGGTGGTCCAGGTGGCCCAACGTCACCATCAATCCCGTGGCTACCATGGTAACCCTTTGCTCCTGCATCACCAGCTAAACCTGGACGACCCTAAAATTAAGAAACGAAGGGATTAAAATTAATAGTAGAAATATTCAACGATAGACAGACAATCTCTTAATATTAGTCTCTGCCCACATTTAAATATGTGGGTGTGGTCTTACCTGATCTCCTTTTATACCAGTTGGTCCAGTACCGCCAGATGGACCTTGCTCTCCCTAAACAAACAAACAAAAAAGAAATAAACAAATATCTAAATAAACAAACAAATAAATAAATGTATGTACTCTTGCTCCAGAGGCTCCTCTTCTTCCAGGATTACCAGGTTGACCTTTTTGGCCCTAAAATAATAATCATCGTTAGATCGAGAAATATACTTGTGAGATCATTCTAACTAAAAATGAAGACCTATTGGCCGAATACGAGAGACTAAAGTCTCCTAAACTCTCTCTAGATCTAACAGTGGCACAATTAGCAGCTTACCTTAACCCCGTCTCTTCCAGCTGGTCCCCGCTCTCCAGTTGCTCCTACTGCTCCCTAAAATCGAACGTGCACATTACGTCAGATGGTAATGAACAGCTGCTCCATTTAAACTAACCTTTACACCAGGAAGGCCTGTCTCACCCAGTGGGCCAGGTTCACCTTGTGCTCCCTACAAACACAGGAATCAGTCGCTATGGTAACAGGGTCACCCATAAACTCACCCTGTCTCCCCGAGCTCCCTGTCCTCCTATTGGTCCTGGGGGTCCAATGAATCCTTGACCTCCAGGTACTCCTTTGTCACCTTTAGGGCCGTCAGGTCCAGGAGCTCCCTGAATTAATTAATAATTATTAGTATCGGTGATATTAACATGGACTCACATTACGACCAGCGTCTCCACTGACTCCCGGTATTCCATCGTTCCCTCGTATTCCTTTAGGTCCGGCGGGTCCAGCTGGTCCAGGACCTCCTTGAACGCCTTTAATCCCCTGAAAATATTTAAATAATAAATATAACAGAATACAGTATATCTGGTAATTTTGGGAATTAAATTTGGTGTTTTGATAGCCATTTACCAAATTAAAAGCAGCCAATCAACATAAAATTTTGCAGTTAACCAAGTTTTAGAATTTTTTTCACTGATTCTAAAATACAAAGTATAGCTGTACATGTTTGTGTACGTACGATTGGTCCGGAGGGTCCAGCTGCTCCTGCTGGTCCCTGGGGTCCCTTGGATCCTTTGGCTCCTTCTTCTCCAACGTTCCCAGCGTCTCCTTTATCTCCTTTCTGTCCTTTTTCTCCGGCGGGTCCCACGGGACCAGGGTCACCAGAATTACCAACTTCACCCTAAAGGAGGCGGAGCTTAAAACACACTCCAATAATGATAATATGAACCTTATCTCCAGGATCACCAGCAGAACCAGCTTCACCTTGAGGTCCAGCTGGTCCCTAGTAACAATAATAAATCAATAAATAAATAAATAAATTTAAAACTTACAGCTGCTCCTTTATTTCCTTTCTCTCCGACATTACCAGTTCTTCCCAGTACTCCCTAAATACAGTGCAGTATGTATTGGTCACATGACAGTCACATGATGGACTCACTCTAGGCCCTCGGTCTCCAGCAGAACCTTTATCACCTTTCAAACCAGTAGAACCCTGATAATAATAATAATAATAATAATAATAATAATAATAATAGTAATAATAATAATAATAATAATAATAATAATAATTATTATTATTATTATTATTATTATTATTATTAATTACTTACAGGTGATCCTGGAGTTCCCTCTCTACCAAGAAGTCCAGCATCTCCAGCGTCTCCCTAGCAACACGTATCACATGACCATTAGTCACATGACCATTAATCACATGATCTCATGAACTTACTGGATCTCCTGATAGACCAGCAGTACCTTTAGCTCCGGGGGGACCTTTTTCACCCTAAAAAACTCATGGTAACACTAATCTATCAATAGTAACAATAATCTATTAATAGTAACACTAATCTATTAATAGTAACACTAATCTATTAATAGTAACACTAATCTATTAATAGTAACAATAATCTATTAATAGTAACAATAATCTATTAATAGTAACACTAATCTATTAATAGTAACAATAATCTATTAATAGTAACACTAATCTATTAATAGTAACACTAATCTATTAATAGTAACACTAATCTATTAATAGTAACACTAATCTATTAATAGTAACACTAATCTATTAATAGTAACATTAATCTATTAATAGTAACACTAATCTATTAATAGTAACATTAATCTATTAATAGTAACACTAATCTATTAATAGTAACATTAATCTATTAATAGTAACACTATTACTTACACCAAGACCAGTTCTTCCTCTAGCACCAGTATCACCAGTCATACCTTGAACACCCTAAGAACAGTAACATTTAAATGTATACATACATGTACATGTACATGTAGTACAAGTATAAATAAATCATTGATTTGCATGATGAAGTTAGGAGGGGGTGGGGCTGAGGGTGGGGCTTACTTTAGGTCCAGGATTTCCTTGAGATCCTTGCCTGCCTTTTCTACCAGGAGCACCCTATTAATAGTAATAATAATAATAATAATAATAATAAATAAATAAATAATAATAAGCTACTCCCTCTATCTTTCTATGCTATGATATTGTTCACCTATTGTTCAATATGTATCATAAAATGTAATAAAAATTTGGGGTGATTTCGGAGCCATTTTTTGGAAAAAACCATGGACTATAGCCTTGGGTACTTTTCAGATTTTTGGCATTTTTTTAAAATGGCCGTAACTCAAAAAATTAAAGTCAGAATCACTTCAAACTTTCTACACAGCATAAGGACATCAATATGTATCAAAAAATGTAATAAAAATTTGGGTTGATTTTGGAGCCATTTTTTGGAAAAAACCATGGGCTATAGCCTTGGGTATTTTTCAGAATTTTGGCATTTTCTTAAAATGGCCGTAACTTGAAAATTTTAAGTTGGAATCACTTCAAACTTTCTACACAGCATAAGGGCATCAATATGTATCAAAAAATGTAATAAAAATTTGGGGCAATTTCGGAGCCATTTTTTGCAAAAAACCATGGGCTATAGCCTTGGGTATTTTTCAGATTTTGGCTCATTTCTTTAAATGGCCGTAACTTGAAAAATTAAAGTTGCATTCAGCTCAAACTTTCTACACAGCATAAGTACATGTATGTGCATCAGAAAATGTAATAAAAATGGAGAACTCTCTCCTTTTATTTTTTGGCAAATTTTGGCCAAAAGTCCCTGTACTATAGTACAGGGACTTCAGACAGATTTTGGAGACACTTAAAAAATTCATAAAAATCTAATTTTGATTAGAACTACAAGTACACTACATAAGAACATGTACTTAACTATAATTTTATTATAAGCACTTATGAATAAAATAAGACACAAGTACATGTACACATAAAATAGATATACATGTACATGTACATATCATGTATGATATGTACATGTACATGTACATACCGGAGGTCCCAAGGGTCCCTTCTCTCCTTTATTTCCTTTTGCTCCCTGAGGCCCACGTCTACCGTCAGCACCAGATGGACCCCTTTCACCTTTAGTACCCTTTTGACCCTATAAGGAAGTACTCACGTCCTGTTAGTACCAGCTGGTTCTTACTCTTGGTCCCTTATCTCCGACGACTCCAGGCTGACCGTCATTACCAGACACACCCTATCACATGTACATTATATCACAAGTACATCATGTGACAATCACATGGACACTCACCGGATTACCAGAAGATCCAGAAGAACCAATGTCGCCGGGGTCACCAGGAGCACCCTATAGAAATTGAATATTAGGGGGACCAGGGGGCAATATGTGTCTCAGGGGGTCAGGGATTATTAATACTTACAGCTTGTCCTGGAGTACCACCGACTCCTTTAGTACCTTGATCACCTCTTTGACCCTAATTAATTAATAATCAATTAATTAACAATCAATTAATTAATAGCTTACTTGTTCTCCAATAAATCCAGTTACACCTGGCTCTCCAGTAGGTCCCTAATCAATAATAATTGATAAATAATTATTAATTAATTAATCATTCGTACTTTAGTTCCTGGGCCTCCAGGTGATCCAGGTTCACCAGGTGCTCCCTGTTATATTAATTAATTAATTAATTAATTAATTAGTTTATTAATTAATTATTTTATTGTCTCACTGTTGCTCCGTCTTTCCCAGCCTGTCCTGGTCTACCATGAGTACCTGGTTCTCCCTGAAATTAATTAATTAATAATATCAATTTAATTAATTAAACATCGTTACTTGTGGTCCAGGTGCTCCTCTCTCTCCTCTAGCTCCAACCTGTCCAGCTTGTCCCTAAACAAACAGACAAAAGTTTAAACAATAAACAAAAACATCATACAATTGGTCCTGGTTGTCCTGGAGGTCCAGGTTGTCCATCTCTTCCTGCAAGACCCTGTCAATGTTAATATCATGTTAATATCGTGTTAATATCATGGTGTGATACTTACTCTAACTCCAGTGTCCCCCACACTACCAGGTCTACCAGGACTACCAGGGGCACCCTATAATTAATACAATTAATGACATTAGCAGTACCTCCCCCTCCCTCCTCCCCCTCTCCCTCCATTACTCTTGATCCTTTGGCTCCCCTCGGTCCAAAGGCACCAGTAGCTCCTCTTGCTCCTTGAGGTCCCTGCGGTCCCCTCTCACCAATGTCCCCTGCCACTCCCTATACATGAGTACAGGTAACAAACATCAGTAGATGTACCACATACACAATGGTCACATACAGTTCATATTATTATTATCTTAGGTAGATCACTTATTGGATATTATACTGTAAATATTGTCAATACAAAATGTCCTCATGCAGTTCTAGTGATGAGACTTACATTTGCTCCTTGCTGGCCGATGGAACCAGGGAAACCTCTTGGACCTGTAGTACCCTATTTAATTAATAATAATTAATAATAATAATTAATGATAATTAATGAATAATAATAATAATTAATGTATAATAAACTCACGTACCACAGCTCCAGGTGTGCCATCTTTACCATTTATACCAGGTGCTCCCTTAATGAAGGAGAATTATTAATTAATTATCAGTTGATTATTATTCATTACCCTCGGTCCTCTGGCACCACGCCCACCCACTCTTCCTGGGGAACCTAGGGCTCCCTTTGCTCCATTGGGTCCAAAACTACCGATAGCACCAGGACCCCCTGGTTTACCCTGTAATAACAATAAACTCATATCCATTAATATTTATGGCGTATACTTTAGTTCCAGGTGTTCCCCCGGGTCCAGCTGGTCCAACTTTCCCTTGAGCGCCCTAAAGATGAATGAAGATACATTAACATACATGTACATGTACACATGTATTATGAAGGTAGGCTCCATGTGGGTCACTCACTTTTCTTCCGTCGTATCCATCTTTACCAGATTTACCAGGTGGACCTTTTTGACCCTTTCATAACATCAACAAATAAACATTATTATTATTATTATTATTATTATTATTATTATATTATTATTATTATTATAATATTATTATTATTATTATTATTATTATTATTATTATTATTATTATTATTATTATTATTATTATTATTATTATTATTATTATTATTATTAATTACTTGAGCTCCTTTAGATCCCTTCACTCCATAGTCCCCAGGTAGTCCAGGGTCACCAGCTACTCCCCTCGGCCCGGGGGGTCCTGGTTCTCCAGGGGACCCTGACTCTCCTCTTCCACCTGGTACTCCTGCGAAACCATACCCGCCATCTTGACCCTGGTTAATTAATAGTTAATTAACTATTATTAATAAGTAGTTAATTAACTTACAAGGTCACCAGAAGGTCCTTTGTTTCCAGGCTTTCCTCTCGGGCCCTAAATATTTATAATAAATTAAAAAGTACATGTACATGAGGAGGTGGTTGCTATATAACTCACTGATCTTCCTCTCTGGCCTGGTTTACCATCCCTCCCATCAACACCGTCTCTACCCTACACCAATGAATATAATTAAACATTATAATTAATTGATGGACTTACTCTGTCTCCTTTGGGTCCAGTGCTACCATCACGTCCAGCTGGACCCTATAATAAGTAATTGGGCATAAGTACGTGTATTTGATAATGGTTCACCTCTTCTCCTTGCTCTCCGGGTATACCGACCATACCAGTGGGACCTCTGGAACCCTTTAATTAAAGGTAATTAATTAATTAATTGATTGATTGATTGGTTATTAACTTACAGTTAGACCAGGTGCGCCACGCTGACCAGGGTTACCCACCACGCCCTAATAAGGAATAATGTATTATTAATTAATAAGGAATAATATGAAGTGATAATCCTTACAGGTGATCCGGGTGCCCCTAGGGGTCCTTTTTCACCACGGGGGCCTTCTGGTCCCTGGAATATACAAAAGTATACAAGAAATGATTCAGTAAATTATAGCAACACACGTACGTCCCTTCCAATAGGCCCTTGAGCTCCTGGATGGCCTCTTTGACCCTAAAACATAAAATGATTCAATTTATAAAAGTCTCTGTAAGCTCCACCCACCTCTTCACCATCTACCCCATCAGTTCCGTCCATACCTGGACTCCCTGTTCTGCCCTAATATGGAAATTAATTAATTAATTAATTTAATTAACAGTCTTACAGGGTGTCCAGTACTTCCTCTAGCTCCCTGTGCTCCCAAAGGTCCAGGTGGTCCCTATAAACAACAACAAACAATAATAACAACAACAACACCAACAACAACACATACAGTACCTGATCTCCACGGGGACCCTGCTCTCCCATTACTCCAGGCTCACCCAGCTCCCCTCTCATTCCATCAACACCAGCTGCTCCAGGTAGTCCGGGGGACCCAAGAGAACCCTATACTCAACACATTATTGAACACTTACTTAATACAAGACACTTACCGGTCTTCCTTGATCACCTTCTGGACCAGGCCAACCTGGATCACCAGTGACACCCTATATGATACAAATGGTAATGATGGTGTACATGTTGTGAAGCACATTGCTACTGATTCATTTCTGTTAATGATGATCAAAATTTTTAAATATTAAATTAATCATTGCAAAAAATTGATTTGAACCAACTAAAAAACTTCACAAAGTATAATAATTAATTCAAAAGCAGGACTACAAAGTATAATATAACTCAGGACTAATGGACTATATGAAAGCAGCACTAAACACACACACACACACACACACACACACACACACTCAATGATTATCCATTAAAGCCTGTCTATCATGCTCCAAGTGGTCACTTTGGACCAATTCATAATTTTTCCTGGAAAAACACGATAATTTCAATTTCTTCCATAAACAGTTCAGCAGATACTTCCAGGCAAGATAGAGCAGAGCAGCCACCATTGGGAATATAGCAAAACATATTTGACAATTTGAAGCAAGCCAGACATTCCAGAAGTGCCTGTGTGCACTATCATAAAGAACAATGGAGTTCACACAAGTAATACCATTTATTATAACCAGGTTACTTAAAAGTACTGCATCTATTACATTATACAATTTCTTTTGATATGGCTGTACTATTGTATGGAGGAGTAAGAATATGATAAGAAGGGTTTCCATTACGAACTCTGATTCAATGTAGTTTGGTATGTAATACGACAGTTGAATGATCATTCGGTATACAAAATACATACCAGCAAAATAGCGATGGTCATCTTTGAAGCTAGCGTAAAACCTATCATAGAAAGGTTTGAGTTGTCTATACATGAAACCGCAGGTAAGTATGGACCCAACCCAGGACTGACTAGCATCGATGTTGCAATGAGAAAGAAACAAAGAGACAAGTGGGTACATAAGGAGCATTACTGTTGGAATGAAGAGAATTATCAGAAACAAGATTGCAGGGACGGCATATTTCAAGTGCTCAAGACCAAAATAGACTTCTTTGCCATACAAAGCAACCCTGTAGCTCGTGATCTCAAAGTATTCCTTATAAAGTGGAGCTGGTTGCAGAATAAGGAGTGAGGTTTCAACTGCACTAGTAAAGAAGAGGACAAAAAGTGCTGACATACCAATCAGTGCTGAGTTTTTCGCTGTCGTGAAGCGAAGGAACCGACTGCAGCAGTAAAAGCACCTGGAGAAACTCCTGAGAAAGAAAACAATGACAAAGATAAGAGCAACGCAATAAAGACCTTTGATATAGCCTAGTGAAGCAATGTCCAAACTATTAGCATCATTAGAAATACAAAATGCTGTATTGTGGAGATAAAAGAACTCAAGATTCAATGGAAAGTATAACAAGTGAAGGAAGTTCCAATAAAATCCATACTCTTTTCTACTCAAACGGTTTGCCCTTGAAATGGTAAGCGAACAAAGAATGTGACTGTACAAGAGAAAACCTTGAAAATATCCACTCGTCACGTCCAAGCCAGTGGCAATGATAGCTACAAACACAACGGTGATTGGTAATATCTCAGAGACTACGAATATCAACCAGCCGTAGAGGAGACAGTACTTACGAACTGGTTCACAGATGTAATGAGTGCTTGTATGATAATAGGTAGTATGGCCTAGCTTACACTGGCCACAGAGGATACCCTGTCTGTTGAACTTGCATAAGAAGGAATCCTCTGCTGTAAAGTAAGAAGGAATGATTTGAGAGTATTTCTCTCTGTAGTGGCAAAAGAACAAGCAGGGACCAGATACAAATACTTTGGTACCAAGACTATCCTCTATAAATCCGCCCCAAGCACCTCTAACAATGTAAGCATGGAACCCTTTACACTCGACTATGCCATAAAAGTAGAACTTAGAACAAATGCATTTCCTGTGAACCTTCGTGTAATAGAAACCAGGAGGACAGAACTTGAGGTGGACGGTTCTACTGATCAGTAGCATGGGTTTCGTAATTGTCTGGAACTTTATATAAGCTGTGATGTTTTGAGGCCCAAGTATAGTGAACGTATTATTATAAATGTAGGCATTCTTCACAGTGACATTGACAGACTCATTGACATTTCGTGGATAATAGATAGACATGACTTGAAATACGGCCAAGTTTGTTGGAATTGTTGCATTTAGTTCATCCGTCAGTGATACGTCTAAATAGCACAGTTCCCCCGGGTAGATTGATATCCATTTATGCTTTGGGTGGGCATGAGAAGGAGCAGTGGCTATTTCGTTTTTAAGCGTCGAATTGAAAAACACAAATTGACGTCTTTTAAAAACAGCGCTGGGTTTTATTAAACTCTCAGTTTTTGACGAGTAAGCAATCCTGCACGGTAAAAGAGATGATAGGAATATTGAGCTTCCATTTTTTGCTCTGTTATGAGTGAAAGTGACACTTGAAAACAGACACCCAAAGTCATTAGTTTTGTTGCAGTCAAACAGAAATGGACACACAGCTTTAGAAAAGAGCATGTGGTCATTAGTAACTGAAGAGAATAGCGCTCCACCAAACTCAGTCGCTTTATTGCCAATGAATCTGAGGACAGTGCTCGGAGAATGAAGAACCAAACTAGCAACATTTAGCGAAACAGCTCCACCAAAAGTACCCACATTATTTCTAAATAATGCCGTGCAAGCTTTAAAGTGAACATAAGACATTGTCGCAGTAAGTCCTGATCCTTTGTTCTCTTCAAAAAGAAGAGAAGAATAAAACTCAACATTTATATTCATGATTGACACAGCTCCATAGCTAGCTTCAAGACTGTTCCCGGCCATATTCCCGGCATGTCTTGCAAAGTTCATTCTGAATGTGCAGTTGCTAAACACTGGCATCACTCTTGACTCAATGAGATATGAACTATCAGAAAATTGATGACTGATATCAACTGCTGAACCCGAGATGGCTTCATTTCTAGTCCAGATACACTTGCTGATACTGATTTCATTCCCGGCCAAATTGTGTTGAGTCTCGATACTCAGACCACCCCCGAAATAAGCAGAGTTACTAATAAAACGACATCCAGTGATGAGTAAAGTATTTTGACCAAGTCCTTTGGAGAGGCTATAGTGTATAGCCCCTCCTTTGGGAATAACAGAATTTAATGCAACATTGCCAGTGAATGATGTGTTCTCAATCATTAAAATTGTGTTTGTACAATCTTGTACTTGTGCCGCTAGGCCACCGCCATTCTCAGCCTTATTGTCATTAAAGGTGCAATTGAGTATCTTAAAAGAGAGGGCCAGTCTCCCAGACAAGTTAATCTCCAATCCACCGCCATAACCTTTAGCCTGAATCCCATCCCAGCCCCCAATCAGCTTAGAGTTGTTTTCAAACTTACAACCTGTCATGAGGTAATCGGCCCCTGCATTAATGTCTTTTAAATTAATTTTCACTCCGCCCCCACCACCACTCAATCCAAAATAGGTAGGGGTAATTGGATGGCCTGTGTTTCCAGTGAAGTCAGAGTCCTTTACAAGAACTTTGCCAGTAACTTGAGACAATGTAAGACCTAGACCAAGACTCTCTTTGATAAGGATACTCTTCACAGTCACATCTATGCAAGATTCAACCACTAGAGCAGCTGCTATGCTTCCATCTCGGTTTAATGATCCACATCCAATGATTGAGATATTCTCTAGATATAACTTCAGTATTGAATAAAATCCAATACTAGCTGATCCAAAGCATATAATAGAGACCTGAGTATTAAGACCTGCAACGAGGACGTCTGATAAACCACTTGGTAACTTTGTGCTGTTCGTTAAAGTGTTTGAAAGTTTCTTGATAATAATTTGTGAGTTGTTGCTGCGTAGAATATGGAAAGCATCTTCAATAGAACAGCAAGATGACCCTGAAGCTTCATGATGGCAAGGAGCAGTGCAGTCTGGCTGCACTGTTATTATAGTCCTGGGGTTCTGAAGCAAAGCTCTAACAGAATGCAACAAGAACACCAGAAATAAAGGCTTGAGATTCATGCTATCACGATCAAGAGCAAGAAATAAGGAATGAACTTAGTGACTTTGCTACTTATAAACAAAATGAGCATAGACTATAAATAAACAACAAGATATAGTTTATAAACTACTTGTATATCTATGATACTGGTTAAGTTTAACGTACACAGAGGACCAATTGCTGGTAAACATGTAATCCTATTAAGCTCCTGAGAGCTCTGGCAATTGTATCTTCACTTTCAATTGAATGCACATTATGTAAACATAAACTACTTTGCAATCAACAGACTTCCATCAACAAATATTTCATTATTATAGTTTCTTACCAGACGTCCAACTCCACCAGATGGTCCCCGGGGTCCCTCCACTCCAGGGTTACCCACGGGAAGTGGAATTAGATCCAAATTGATAGCAGGACCTTTGCTACTGCCCTGACTTTGACTAGCAATGAGAGCCGCTAATTGCTACAAGAGACGAAACAAAACAAACAAATAATGTACACGTACATACTGTATATGTATACGTGTATTACGTGTGACATGTGTGTGTCACCTACTTCAGAGTACATTACTGGTCCAGGGGGTCCAGGCTGTCCAGATGGTCCTCTAATACCTTGAGTGCCAACAATACCCTGAGAAAATAAAAAATAGAATCAATTAAAGTTACAGTAAAGTCATGTATTAATTGTTTGCAGATAATTATGAATACTAACAGGGTCTCCAGATCGTCCAGGTATTCCATTAGGTCCAGGCAGACCAACTTCACCCTACAACTATCAGTAATAACTACTAATAATCATTAATAACTAACCGGAGGTCCTGATCTTCCGGTAGGGCCAACCAAGCCCATCTAAAATTGAATAAAATAAATAAATAATAATAATTAATTAATTACCTCTCCTTTAAATGAAGCTCCAGGATCTCCAGGAGAACCGGGATCACCAGGTGCATATACCTATTAATAATAATAATAATAATAATAATAATAATAATAATAATAATAATAATAATAATAATAATAATAATAATAATAATAATAATAATAATAATAATAATCATCAATTAATTCCTTACATCTCCTGATCCACCTAACACTCCAGGTGGTACACCGGTTGGTGCAGCGTTACCAGTGTCAGGTACATCGGTCACCACTGGGGTAGCAACTGGTCCAGGGGGACCCACAGGACGTGATACCGATGGAGGAGAAGTGGGAGGAGTTGTGGGTGTGGTTTCAGTTGGTGGTTGAGTGGCGGGTGGTTCAGAGGGACCGGAGGGGTAGGTACAGGTGGGGCTGCACTTGTCCCATGTGAGTTCAGTACAGTGACGGGTAGAAGCAGTATTGTTCACTGAATCATCCGGAATGAGAGCCAACTGCTGTAGAGTCACATTCTATGGGGAAGAAAGAGAGAGAGTATCAAGTTAACAGGTTGCTCTGAAATCAGGTCAAAGTCCCTGTACTATAGTACAGGGACTTTGGCCAAATTTCAATAAAAATGAAAAGGAGAGAATTCTCCATTTTTATTACATTTTCTGATGCATATACATGCACTTATGTTGCGTAGAAAGTTTGAGCTCATTCCAATCAAAATTAGATTTTTAACGAATTTTTAAAGTTGTTCCAACATTCCTGATGTGCCAGTACACTACAGGGTATTTTATAAAAATGACTGAGAAAGAATTCAGTCCTGAACTATTACATGTAGAGTATATCCCTTACCCTCCTCTGGTCACAAATAACACACACACTGCCTATGATCAGAAACTCTTAAAACCTCTTCTCCCCCTCCCGCCATTTTGTTAATTATGATTAATTAAAATTAACGAGCCCCGCCCACTATGCTAATTAATTCCTTCAATGCATTCTTACCACTATCCCTCCATTGCTGCAATTAGACTGAGGATAGCTTCCAACCAGCTTATTCAAGGTGCTGTCAGTACACTGCAACAGACAGCCAGTCCTGTTGATGGCTTTAACTTGAGAGCTCAAGAGCCGACAGTTGAGATACACTGATACACTAGTCTCTGAGAACTCTATTGCAAGTTTATTCCATGTCTTTGCTTGAAAAGCTGGCATCGTGTATTCCAGAGTTTGACTTGAGCCATAGCCACATCCTTCTCCATTCTCATTGAGGTATACAATCAGTTTATTAGCACAGTTATCCAAGGAGACTCTCAGCTGTGGGTTGGACCCTCTCTGTCCCAGTTCAATGAGAGTGACAGCCCCTTCAGCCTTGTCCAGCTTAAACTTGGTCAGCATGGAGAAGTTCCTGTATCCAGGGCAGCGACACTGGGTGGTGTTCCTAAAGGAGTCTGAGAGCATCTTGTAGACTGGGAAATTGCACTCATCTTGAATTGGGTGGACTCCCTGATTTCCTTGTCTAAATGACAGGGTCTCAAAGTTGAAGGAGACCCCAGCTGTAAGAAAAAGAGACATAAAGTAACATAGGTGTATATGTAATAAATTTTGAATAATCTTGGAGGAAAAAAGACATTTACAGCCAAAGATTAGCATGTAAAGAACAGGAGTAGCTTGCATCAGTTTATCGTGCAACAACCATGCAAGCAAAGCAATGATATTTATTTGTTCATAATTCACTTACTGTCTCCATAATACCAGACTGAGCATAGATCATAGTTATCCTGGAGCCCAGGACACAATGGTGAGGGAGTTGGAGGTGGCTCAGTATATTCGTAGTAACCAGAATAATCCCCAGAATAATAATAATAGTAGTCATACTCTTCATTGTTTTGTCCCAAGACTGCTCCAGCACTAAAGAGCACTAAAATGCAGAAGAGATGCAGTCCAGTCATAATGGCTGTCTTTATAAAGTTGCTGTCAGCTGAACAAGATCAACTTGAGCTACAGTACAAGTACTGCAACTGATTTGGAAGCGGTAGGTGGGCTCCTTCCCTCTCTCTCTATCAACCAGGCTTGCTTCTTGACAGCAACCAGGCTCAGCAGGCAACCGCCATATTGAAGAGAACTTGCAGTGTGGGGCGCTGCTGCTACAGCAGAATGGACTGCTTTGTGTATTCAGATACATTGGAAGCCTCCAGTAGTGATAGTGTGGATTGGAATGGGTAGCTCAGGGGCGCTCGCTGTGTACCTTTGATAAGGCAGGCCTGCCTCATGAAGACTATCGATCATACAGGCATTCTGCGCCGCATTGAGCATTTCAATGACTTCAAACTTCCATTCTCGAGCTGTCAGCATGGAACAGAGGTGATAGGTAGATATTTTCATACCTTTACAGTGTAGGAAAATTATTTTAAGGTTTAAAGAAAAATGAAATTAAACTTAATACAAAAACAGGACCAATAATAATTATAATAATAAACAAGCCTTTCTTGTTGTTTACGACGACAAAATCAAATAAGTTTTTTCGCATTAATTATTATTTATTGATAGAAAACATGATAAGACAGTAAATATGAAACTGAGTTAGTAGAAACAAGCTGGCCCCATGACAAACCCAAACTGAGGACTTGATGGAGTGTTCTCAGTGACAGCAAAATCATTTAATGGTAGCTGGTTAATCTTTCTGGTACTAACTTCTACAACTGATGATCCGTGAGAAGGCTTACCCTGAGAAAGAAGACAAGGAAGACATCGTTTAAGTATATGTAATTTAAAGTGTTACTGATAAATGAATAAATATACAAACAGTACGTGTACATACTTGACATCCATCATAAATAGTGCTAGTTGGTTTCATTTCTGTTCCAGTCTGAGAGCGGAATAGAAGTGCTGCCTCAGAATACTGACAGTTGTATGTGAACTGTTGAGAAGCATATCTAGAACCGACTCTTAAATAATCCAACTGGGCCTTAGGAAGACTGTAGCTGATCTATATGTAACACAAAAATGAGGTAAATTTGAGAAAGTGGGGACTATTGAAAGCACTGAAAATCAACTGTCATTTCAAATTAGCAGCTAATGAACTGTAATGTAACACAAACTAGGGGTTCTAAAGCTCCCAATATCTACCCCCTTGCTCCCAATATTATCTATCCCTTACCCCTCAGCTATAAATTACCTTAAATCCTCCTTTAAAGGAGCTAAACCAAACAGAATCTCCGCTCCATGTTCTAACAGAGCTCTCTCCATTAACAGGGTGGACACAAGTCCTTACATTACCAGATGAAAAGTTACAGAATACCTGCACAGCATCACTAGTGCAGCCACCATTGGGATCAATCCAGTAATAGCCTGAACACAAGGACACTATCATGTGACTATCGAGTGACTCACTCACCATCATTGATCTTAGGGTCCTCTAGTTGGAGGTCCAGACAGGATCTGGCGGGTGAGTCCTGAGTTCCTTTGGGAGACTTCAAATGTTGGAGTTTATTGTGAGCGTTGACGACCTTACTGATGTCACCAAGGTTAACGTCCTTAAAAAAAATAAAAGATAATAATAATTTTTTTTGTAGCTACCTGAGCATCTCCCTCTCCTTTATAAAAGTATGGTGTCACTGCTGGGAACGGAGTAATAGCAGGTGGTCCAGGGGGTCCCTATAATATTAATAACCATTAATAACTACAAACAACTCATATTAACTTACAGCAGGTCCAGGTGGTCCAGCAGGCCCAGCGTTACCAGTCTCCCCATCAGATCCAGGGGGTCCCTTAGGGCCAGGTGCTCCTCGGAAACCCTGGGCTCCATCAGGTCCTTGATGTCCTCTTGGTCCTTGAGGTCCAGGTACTCCGGGGGCACCAGCTGGTCCTGGATCACCAGACATGCCAACAGGTCCAGGATAGCCGGGTTTCCCCTCCACACCCTTGTCTCCTTGGCCTCCCTTGTCTCCCTGTTCCCCTTGGTCTCCCTTCTGTCCTTGTGCTCCTTGTTTACCAGCCACTCCCTGTTTCCCAGGCTGTCCTTCTGGTCCACCTGGTCCTCTTGCTCCTTTCTCTCCAGCTGATCCTGGGTCTCCCCTAGCTCCCTGGGCTCCATTAGGTCCTGCTTCTCCTTGAGCTCCTTTAGGTCCCTTGGGTCCATTCTCTCCTCTTGCACCCTAACAAGGGGACAAGCAGTGACCACACCCACTAATTATTAATTATTATTACTTGTGGTCCGGCTTCTCCCTTTGGTCCAGGTAGACCAGGTGGTCCTGGAGGTCCAGTGGCTCCATCAAATCCAGGGAACCCACGTTCACCGGGTTGACCAGTAGCCCCCTATTGTACGTACCAGTGTCACCAGTGTCAGAGTACAATAGTGGCTATACTAACCTGAGCTCCGTTGGGTCCTCTAGGTCCTTGTGTACCAGCATTACCAGGTGATCCCTGACAATTATTAATTAATTAATTAGGCTATGAATATATAATTACTTGAGGTCCAGGGGCTCCTTGAGATCCTCTTGATCCTTGGGCTCCATCACGTCCCACGTCCCCAGGTGTGCCAGGGGTACCAGGTGGACCAGCCTCACTACCAGGTGTACCCTAACAACAATAATGATTAATACAATTTAAAAAATACATTATCATACAGGTGCTCCAGTGGCCCCAGGTAGACCAGGTTGGCCTTGATTCCCATTGTTACCCTAACGAGGGAGAGAGAGGATCAGATACTCCATACATGTACATGTACGTACGGCTTGTCCAGGGTGTCCCCTAGGACCCTTAGCTCCATCTAATCCAGACTCTCCAGCGTCACCAACAGGTCCAGCTGGACCAGTAGCTCCTGCCTCTCCATCATCTCCCACGGGTCCAGCATCACCAGTCATACCGGGTAAGCCAGCAGGTCCAGCGAGACCAGGTGAGCCATTAGCTCCCCTCGGTCCCTTGGGGCCAGCGTCTCCTGGTTCTCCAAGTATCGTCAGTGGGGCTGGGGTGCCATCAGGGCCAGCAGGACCAGGCTCACCCTAACATGGAGATACGATCAATACAAGTACGTGTTGCAATGTTCTTACAGGGTGTCCCTGTGGTCCTGTTTCTCCATCTTCTCCACGAGGTCCAGGGGCTCCGGGGGCACCAGCAGGTCCAGCTGAGCCAGGTGGTCCAACAACACCTTGATTACCCTATCAATGATAATTATTATTTATTAATTTATTTATTTATTATTACTAATACTCACTTGAGGTCCATCAGGTCCCTTGAGTCCTTGAGGTCCAGCTGGTCCTGGTGGTCCCTAAGTATGGGTATGGAAATATAACAGTATGGGTATGGAATTATTAGCATACATCAGCTCCAGTTGTTCCGGGTAGTCCCTGAGGTCCAGGTGGGCCGGGGTCTCCTTGTGGTCCAGTTTCACCAGCTGCTCCTGCAGACCCTCTGGGGCCTTTTTGACCCTTTAATGATAATTAATCAACATTAATTAATAATTATTCATTGTACTTACAGCTGCTCCAGGGGCACCAGGTGCTCCTGCATCTCCGTCACTACCTGCTTCACCCTAAATATGATTAATTAATTGATTGTTATTATAACTATTAATAACTAACCAAATCTCCAGCTGGTCCAGTGTGTCCTGGGGCACCAGGCTCACCAGCTTCTCCCTATAACAATCAATATGAATATTTAGTAACAGTATCTATTATTAGTAACATTACCCTTGGTCCAGGGTCTCCAGCGTTTCCTTGAGGTCCTTGTGGTCCAGCCTTACCAGCTTCACCAGGAGTACCAGGTTCCCCTTGAGACCCTGGGTATCCTTTATCGCCAACCTCACCTTGAGGACCAGCATCACCAGGGGCACCCTAACAATAATAATAATAATAATAAATTATAACAATAATCTTACAGCTGGTCCATCAGGTCCAGTAGCTCCAGCACTACCTGTTGGTCCCACGTCTCCTTGGTCCCCTGGGGCTCCAGTTGGACCATCAGATCCTTTGTCTCCACTAGGACCCTGTCAATCACGTTATACATGGTAGTATATAAAGATCCTTATTAATTATCGATACTGACTGGTTCTCCAATAGGCCCAGATGGTCCAGGGTGTCCTCTATCTCCATTGGGTCCAGGTGCACCAGCACTTCCTGGTAGACCAGGTGTTCCGTCATTACCAGCGGCTCCTTGTTTTCCAGGGGCACCAGGTGCTCCCTGAGGGCCAGTAGAACCAGGATGGCCTGCCTCTCCAATGGGGCCTTGGTCTCCATTAGCTCCTGGTCGTCCAGCAGCTCCACTTCTACCTGGTCTACCTGCCCTGCCTCCTCTACCGGCCTGACCAGCTTCACCAGCGGAACCAGGAGCACCTGGTTTACCATCTTCACCCTAAGAGGAAGGGGTACATGAAATACATTCAAGTAAAGACGAGTTAATCATAAACTTACATTTAATCCAGGGCCTCCAGGGTTGCCACGGTGACCATTAGGTCCAGCTCTACCCTATTAATAGATAATTAATTATCCGTTCCTTCAAGTAATCCATTTGACATACTTTAGGTCCTTGACGACCAGGAAGACCAGGTACTCCAGGCCTACCACCAGGTCCCTGTAATTAATTAAGAATTGATAATATTAAATTGTTTAACAGCAGACCTTGTTTCCAGTAGGTCCAACAGGTCCAGGTGGTCCATCAGGTCCAGTTGCTCCAGGGCCCCCAGTCTTACCCACGACACCAGTCTTCCCTTGGTGTCCCCTCAAACCCTAACAGTAACTATTAATAGACCAGCTGTTCATTATAATGCCTTCCAGTACTTGTTTTCCTTGATGGCCAGGCTCTCCTGTCTCTCCTTTCTTTCCTTTGTCTCCATCAGCTCCAGGTACACCAGTAGCACCAGCATCACCTCCAGGACCCTTGGGGCCTTGGGCTCCAGGGTAACCGATAGGACCAGCTGCACCTTGGTCTCCCTTTAAGAGACGGAATAATAATAATAATAATAATAATAATAATAATAATAATAATAATAATAATAATAATAATAATAATGATATATACACATACCTGTGCTCCAGGGTCACCAGGTGCTCCAATTCCACCATCAAATCCATCAACTCCGTTCTTTCCAGGATGACCAGGAGCTCCGTCATTACCAGGTGCTCCTCCGTCACCTGTTGCTCCAGGTAAACCATCAGCACCAGTATCACCCTAGCAGGACATGTCAATATAAATTATACTCTAATTAATGCCCACTTACAGCGTCTCCTCTCTTTCCAGGGGCACCATGGGCACCAGTCTTACCAACCTCACCCTAAAAATAATAATAATAACAATAATAATAATAATAATAATAATAATAAATTGATCATAAAGGGTCCATTGTCTGGCTGTGTTGCTAAGGAAGGGTTGCTAGGTTACTGTTGCTATGGCGTCTATGTCACACATTACTTAATAAAAGGACTATTATACTGGTAGCCATAACAACGCCTCTACATTATTAGTACATGATCCACTTACAACTGGTCCAGGTGCTCCTACAGGTCCTCTTGAACCAGCTGGTCCCTATACATCAATCAATTAATATTCATTAATGAGTGGGTGGGGCATACTGGATGTCCGATTGATCCTGCTTGTCCTTTCTGTCCAGGCTCTCCAGGTGCTCCCTTAATTAATAATCATTAATTAATAATAAGATACATATTAATTAACGTACAGGGTTTCCAGGGTTCCCAGCGTTGCCCCTTGATCCAGTCCTACCAGGCTGACCAGCTGCTCCCTGACTTCCCTTTGATCCAGGGAATCCTTGCTCACCCTAAAATAATCCAAGTACATTATAACAGGTATATATAACGGGTATATATAACAGGTTTTTTGTGTTACATACGGTTGCTCCTTTGGCTCCATCTGGTCCCTTAGCTCCAGCTGGTCCTCCTCTTCCTCTTGGACCAGGTCCTCCTGGTAGTCCTTTCCTCCCTCTAGCTCCTTGCTCACCCTAGCAACAATGGATTCATTGTGTCATGTATGTGTACCGAGTACTCACAGGTTTTCCGATGGGTCCCTTTAATCCAGGATGTCCTTTATCTCCAGGGGCTCCTTTATCACCAGGTTCTCCCTTGTCACCTTGGGGACCAGGGTGGCCAGGGTGACCCTATTAAAGATACAGTTCAATATTTAAAAGTACAGTGTTATGATATCTTACAGGTGCTCCATGAACTCCAGGTGGTCCATCAGGTCCAGACGTTCCTTTGTCTCCCTTGATACCGATCAAGTGAGGGGCAGGACCTTTGGGGTCAAAAAACCCAGGGGGTAGGATCTAAAACAATAAATAATAATAATAAGTAATTAATAATGGAGTTATAACACGTACAGCAGGAGCACCAGGTGGTCCAGCTGCTCCAGAGTCTCCAGGGGCACCAGGCGGTCCCTTTGCTCCAGGCTCACCATCTTTACCACTTCTACCATTTAAACCATCTGCTCCCTGAAATAATGGAACAATTTAATTAAATATATAATTAATTAATTAATTAATTAATAAACTTACAGGATCTCCAGGGGCACCAGGGGCTCCAGGCTAAGAAAGAAGCAAATATAAAGTAACAATGAAGGACAAAGAAACATGAGCATGGAAACATTACAATACAACACAACACATGTATAACATGTACATGACAGGACTACGTGAGTTCATGTACACTTACCGGTCCAACTGGGTTTGGCTCAGCACCTGGATTACCAGGTGGTCCTACCTAAAAATTTGAAAAACAATTTAACTAACATGATTCAAAGAAACACACGAGTATATGTACATAAAATATAATAGTGTAGGGTAGGGTAGTTCTGAATTACATATGCTGTACGTGAACATAAATATATAATAATGATAAATGTTTCTTGCACTTACTACGGCCATTGTAGTGGATATCAGTACAAGAGAAAGAGCTAAAAGTGATAATAAATTAGCCATCTTTCCTTTTCAACTAGGAACTGAATTGAAAGACTGAAATACAGGAACTGCTACTGATCCACTGCTGCTAGTAGAAGAGTAGCTAGTCAATCCTAGTCACTGCCCGAGTAGGCCTAGCTAGGATATTAGGAGATGTAATAACAGTCACTCTCTTGACACTGTCAGAGAGAAACAGGTGGAGATAGAGCAGCAACTGAAGATAATCCGCTCGTGTAGGCTATTATTAGGAGCCTCATTCTCTCTGTGGAGAACAATAGGACCAGAGACTGTTGCTGTAGTGTCTACTGGACTATTGCCATCTTTATTGTATTGACTGGAGGTAGTACGAGGAGTTATATTGAAGTGTTGTCATTAGAGAGGATCAACAGGATTGAGGCTCGAGACATAACATCATTATTCAATGTACAATAGGCTTTCACGAACAATACCTCTTGTTCGAGGAGGACTAACGTATAATAACTTCTCTTAGTCTCTTAAAAGATCATTTAAGAGCCAAAGAGATGTCAGCCATAGCACCACGTGTTAATTTTTAAATGGTTATTAACATTAGTTAACTTTAAATAATCAACTAGATAACCTTAATAAAAATTGCACAACATTCAATTCCCATTCCACCACTGGTTCCATTCTCAGTCCTCGAGTGACGTCACTCCATCCCGCGCAATTTCGCAGGTAAGCACATTATTGGAGAGGAGGCCATCATGGCCTCACTGTGCGTCCTATCTTTGGAGGTTAAACTACAGTAGGGGCGGCTGGCTGGCAGTATTGTGTCCCTTTGATAAAGAGGACCATTGTATAAGCCAGGCGGCCGCCCCATGGTTTCTAATCCTGAGCTAGGCTAGAGAGAAAGGCAGTGAGCCTTTTCTAATCTTTGCTGTCTGAGACCCAGTCGTAGTTGTTTGCACCTACTGCCATTAGGTGTAGCAGCCACCATGAGGTAAGGTGGGCCCAGAGGAGTCCTCCATCTTTATTCCCTGATATTCAATAGGTTTCTATTCTTACTGTCCGTCCTCCTAGTGTCTGCAGTAGCAGCTGAAGATTGTCCTATTGAAGTTGGTGAGTACTGGATTATTATTAAAATTATTATCAAATTAAAATTTAGACGTCATTAATTAACCCTTTAAATGTGGGATATTTTATTATTTTTTTGTTTGTGTACAGGAGTTTGTGTAATATTTAACCCTTCGTCAATGTTTTTTTGTTATTTTTATCAGTCGTCATGATTATTTATTAATTTTTTATTTATTTATATTTTTAGATCTAATCCCGGGTTTACAATCTCATACTCAAATACAGAATGTAACAGGAGTCTGTATGAGAAGAGCTGCTGGGGCAGGAGATATGGCCTACAGTCCACCCAGTGGTGGTGTCATTATTCCACCTTCAGTCTCTCGTAACTTTACAAGAAGGTCCTACTGTATCTTGACGATCCTTCGTGAGGCCAATGGGAACTCAAATCCCGTTCTACACTTTAGCAGTGGGACTACAAGGGTTGGAGACCTTTCTGTCATTAACGGAACTATTAGCCACACCCTCAGGGGGGTTACGGCGAAATTCAGTGGCCAGTATAACACGAGTAAATTTCAATACATCACAGTCTGTGTTAATGCAGAGACGAGTGAAGCACTGTTGTATATCGATTGTGAGAGTTCGCCGCGAGAAAGAGTACCTTTTATTCAAAGTGCTGGTGGTGTTCTTGCTGATGGATTTACTGCTATTCAAAGTGGGGTTAATGCCAACGACACTTTTCAGGTAATATACATGTACATATTAAATTAATAAAATTTGAATTATGTTAAATTAATACTGATATTGTAATGATTAGTGTACCTGTACATGTATATATATGAACTAATATCACATCTTGTTTACAGGGAGCAGTTCAAATGTTAGCAATCATTGGTTGTGTTGAACAAAGAGCTCAGTGTCTGGCTGAACCAAGTCAATGTAATCTGCCAAAAATCACCCTAGAAACAGCACTGGGTATCCTTGGTAGCCCCACCTCCCCACCCTCTGTCATTGGATCAGGGGATAGACCAACTGGACCTGTAAGATGTGATACTATTTTTAATATTTTAAAAATATTTTGTATCTTTTCCTTATATGGTGTTCATTCTAGGCTGTCGTTATCAAGGGGGTGAGTAGTTATTAAAAGTTATTAATAATATATTGTATACAATCCTCTTCCTATAGGCTAAAGGACAAAAAGGAGCACCTGGTGATATCGTATTTGGGCCGGTAAGATCAGTAATTAATTAATTAATGCATTAATAATAATTATCATTACTCCATAGCCTGGTTTGCCTGGACCAGCTGGTCCTGAGGGAGCCCCTGGATCACGTGGACCTCCTGGTCTGCCTGGTCTACCTGGAAGGAAAGGACCCAGAGTGAGTCTCGTCACATGAACATGTACAGTACATGTACTTTTAAAAACTCTTCGATTGTAGGGAGAGCCTGGTTTGACTGGTAACATTGGAGGGAGAGGACCACCTGGACCTCCTGGACAACCTTACATTGTGAGTCCTTTATAATCTATTATTATAATGTATATCATTATTTATCATCAGGTTAATATTCCACCTGGTACTGGTGGATCTGGTCCCGCCCCATCAGCACCATCAGTAAAAGGACCCAATAAATCCCCAGGATCCTGTCTAACTGTACGTACATTACATCATGTACCTGTACTATATATAGCACATTCATGTCTATTTTTAGAATTGGTGTCTATTTTGATTATTTCCTTATAGGGAGAGCCAGGCCCTAGAGGACCCTCAGGACCCCAGGGACGCCGCGGACCACCTGTAACTAGTACATGTAACAATTACCGTAGAATTTAAACTGTTTCTAGGGTAACCCTGGAGCTGATGGACCCCCTGGACCACCTGGTGAACGAGGCCCTCAAGTAATGAAACCTTTATTATTAATATTAGCAGCTGTACTGTATTGATAGGGTACTATCGGAATACCTGGAGCACCTGGAGAGAGAGGAAGGAATGGAGAGCAAGTTAGTTCTCATACTGTCTGTACTATAGCACGGGGTTACCTCCTGTCGGCACTCTAGGGTACTTCAGGTCCCCCCGGGCATCCTGGGCCCCCTGGACCCCCTGGAGATAAAGGACAACATGGACTACCAGGACCTACAGGTTTACAAGGATTGAAGGGACCCACTGTAAGGGAACTGATAATATTGAATTGATTTTAAACTAATATTTGCAGGGTATGGCTGGCCCACCAGGTAACCCTGGTAACCCTGGCAGTGATGGACCACCTGTAAGTCATTACATGTACATGTACATTATTATTATTATTGTTGTTGTTGTTATTATTATTATTTGTTATTATTATTATTTGTTATTATTATTTTTTAGGGTCAAAATGGTGACCCAGGACCAACAGGACTACCAGGGAATCCGGTTGGTTCTATCATTATTGTGTATTTTCATTTCAAAGTGCCCCCCTAGGGTCCACGAGGAGTTGTAGGGTCTCCAGGAGCACTGGGACCTCCTGGACCACCTGTAAGACCTCACATGTACATGTACGTGTATTTAACTTCTACATTTTAGGGCTCACCTGGTGAACTGGGGGAACAAGGAACAAAAGGAGCTAGAGTGAGTGCCTAACATTATTTATTGTTTATTTATTTATTTATTTTAGGGATCAGCTGGTGCTAGAGGTTTCCCTGGAGGTAGAGGAGCACCAGGAAGTCCTGTAAGTAGTTATTAATTACATGTATATCAATTTATTATTAATTATTGTTCTGTAGGGTAGAGATGGTAGTCCAGGAGCACCTGGTCAAGCTGGTCAGGATGGAAATAGTGGAAGGAATGGAGAGCAAGGTCCGCCTGGACCTGAAGGACTACCCGTAAGAGAACACGCTATCACTCTTTATGATATTAAATGAGTTTAGGGTCACACTGGTCCTGTTGGATCAACTGGTGCTAAAGGAGCAGCTGTAAGTTACACCCCCTGCCCTCCTCATTAATTAATGTAACTACTCTAGGGACGTCCTGGTCCTCCAGGTGCTCCTGGTAATCCTGGAGAGAAAGGAGACAAGGTATGGTACATTAACATTTGAATTAACACACAGCTGCACCTGTTTCCTCTCTTATAGGGAGATCAAGGTCCTAGAGGTCCTTATGGTCATAAAGGAGAGAAGGTACTTAATGTTTATTAGCAGCTGCTCCTCTTGGTGTGCTGTATTGAGATTTATTTGAATTTGTAGGGAAATTCTGGTCTACCTGGTAATCCTGGAGCACTGGGAGAATCTGGAAGCTTGGTAAATAAGAGTTATTAATAGTTATTAATAGTTATTAGCGATTATTAATGATATTATAGGGTCTTCCTGGTCCCCCTGGTGATAATGGTAGGGATGGTGACAATGGGCAACCAGGAGCACCTGGTCTTCCCGGAGCCTCAGGCCCACCTGGTGAAGCAGGCCCTGATGTAAGTTACGAGTACTCAGCTGGTACTAACCTAAGCACTACTGGTGCCTCATGGTAGGGTCCACCTGGTCCTCAAGGAGTCCCCGGCTGGCCCGGGTCTAAAGGACAGAAAGGAGTGAGTGGAGCACCAGGTCAAAGGGGACCACGTGGTAACACTGGAAGAAGAGTAAGCCTATACCTGAATGTACCTTTACCTGTACCTCACTCACTGCTGCAGGGACTGATGGGTATTAACGGTAACCCTGGACCATCAGGAGCACAAGGACCTCAGGGTTCTAGAGGAACACCTGGTCCCCCTGGACCACAGGGGAATAAAGGAGACAGAGGAACACAGGGTCCTCCTGGATCACCCGGAGAACAAGTAAAACCAGTTTGACCGGTTCCTGTTACCTGTTTGTGTTAGGGTTTTGAAGGAGAAGCAGGTCAAAGAGGACCAGCAGGACAACCTGGAGATGCTGTAAGTTGTAATTAATTAATTAATAGGTGTGGCTTATCGTCATGGTGATAGGGTGTACCTGGTCGTGATGGAGAACCTGGTCATAGCGGACCGTCTGGTGATCATGTAAGATATTAATTTATGATAATATTTTGTAAAAATGCTTGAAACTTATTTAAACTTATTACTGTAGGGTGTAGCTGGTAAAGATGGACAGCCAGGTCCTACTGGACCCAGAGGAGAGAAGGTACGAGCAATACCTGCACTCAGTCATGATGTGTTCCTCTTTTCTTCTACAGGGGGCAGGAGGTGATCGTGGACCACCTGGTGATGTAGGAGCCCCTGGAATAGCAGGATCAGCTGGTCTAACAGGCAGTCCTGGAGTTGATGGAAGAGATGGAGACACTGGCCCACCAGGACCAGCTGGAGCAGCTGGACCCAGAGGAGAAAGAGTAAGAACTACTAGTACTGTCTATACTAGGGGCTGGCTGGTACTTTTAAAGGCAGCAGCTGCTGTTAATGGTCCTGGGTATTTGTATGTAAAATGGTTGAATATGGACCAGCTGCCCTGTTGTTTGTTGTTGTTTACATAGGGAGACAGAGGAGAGAGAGGAGAACAAGGTCCTAAAGGACCCACAGGAGAGACAGGACCTCAAGGATTACCAGGCAGTGCTGGAGTCAATGGACAATCGGTACGATATACATGAACATGAACATTGTATTTATTAATTATGATACACATGTAGGGTCAACAAGGTCCTCCTGGGCCACCTGGACCTCCTGGTACACCTGGAAATCCTGTAAGGATGTCATGACGATATACATGTACATGTACATGAATGTTGTATTGTTAGGGATCACCAGGTCAAGCTGGTACCCCAGGGGCTCCTGGGTCACCAGGGGATCAAGGGGAACAAGGAGAAAGAGGAGACTCTGGAGAAGATGGACTACCTGGACAACAAGTATGAACGGATTAGTTATTAACTAGTTATTAAGGATTATTAACTGGCTATTAATTGTTGTTAGGGTCCACCTGGTGAAAGTGGAGATGTTGGATCACAAGGAGAAACTGGACCAACTGTAATGATTATTAATTAACTGATTATTAATTATATAATTGATTAATTAATTAGGGTCCTGATGGTGCTCCTGGTAATCCTGGTAGTGAAGGTCAACGAGGAGAAACAGTAATTATTTGTATTTATTTATTTATTTATTTATTTCTATTTTCTAGGGTCCACCAGGTGCTACTGGTCCACAAGGTCCACCTGGTCTTGATGGAGCTTCAGTTAGTTACAATTATTTATTATTTATTATTATTATTGTTGTTGTTGTTGTTGTTGTTATTATTTTTAGGGTGATAGAGGTGACACAGGTTCTGCTGGTGATAAAGGATCCAAAGGTTCCAAAGGAAACCGTGGTGCTACAGGTGCACCTGGTAATGATGGCACCCCCGGGAAAGAGGGAGGGCCTGGAGTGAGAGGAGAGAAAGGAGACCCTGGACCCATCGGATTATCTGTGAGTTATTACCAGCTACCATTATTAATAGTATTATATTGTGTGACAGGGAGTTACTGGAGCAGCTGGTACTCAAGGAGTAAGAGGAGACCCTGGACCGCCTGTCAGTACATATACTATAACTATCATTAATTATTAATAATAATAGGGTTCTTCAGGCCCACAGGGACCAGCTGGGTCAGCAGGAGATGCTGGTGCTAAGGTAAAGTGTTGTGAGGTGAGAGCGAGTCTCATGATCATTGATTGTAGGGTGAGCCTGGGGCCGCTGGACCAACTGGAGCTCAAGGACCCAAAGGAGGCAGAGGACAGAAAGGAGATAGAGGAACACCTGGACAACCTGGGCCTAATGGAGCACCTGTTAGTTTAATTTAAATGTTTAAACATTTATAATTTAATGTATCGTCTGTATACAGGGTACTAGCGGAGATCATGGAGCAAGAGGACCACCTGGTGACCCTGGAACCACTGTAAGACCACACCTACACTACAGGGACTTTGACTCAATATTTGAGCTTCATAAAAAATCCAATTTTTATTTGAATGAACTCGAATTTTTTTATGCAACATAAGTACATGTACATGTATATTTATCAGGAAATGTAATAAAAGCTGTGCTATTATTTTATTAATAGGGAGCTCCTGGTAATCTTGGTCCCATTGGACCACCAGGCCCACCTGGAGCTGTGGTGAGTATTTCTTTATTTTATTTATTTATATTTATTTATTCATTTATTTATATATTTGTTTATATTTATTTATTTATTTATTTATTTATTTTAGGGTGAGCCAGGCAGTAATGGTGAAGATGGTTTAGACGGAGCAAATGGAGAGCCAGTGAGCCACACCCCCTAGTTATTAATATTAATTAATTAATAATGACAGGGTCCTCAAGGTCCCAAAGGCCCTAGTGGCAATAGAGGAGATACAGGTCTACCGGGACCAGTTGGTAGTCCCGGTGATCCAGGACCAAAAGGATCATCAGGAGATAAAGGAGCTATGGGACCAAGAGGGAATAGGGGTAACACTGGAGCCCAAGGACCTCAGGGAGAGAAAGGAGATAATGGAGCTCCAGGACTCTCTGGTGCCTCTGGAGCAGCTGTATGTTAAAGAGAGGGAGAGGGAAGGACTGGACTATACTTGTATCTATTGTTTGTGTATAGGGAGCTAATGGTAACCCTGGGGATGATGGTGAGAAGGGGGATTCTGGTCAAACTGTAAGTGGGGCATTATAACTGGTCTGCTGGTCTATCCAGCTGGTTTATAGGGACCCGGAGGAGATAGAGGTCCTCAAGGAGACGTGGGTCCTAAAGGAGAGCAAGGGTTGAAGGGTGACAGAGGAGTACAAGGTGAATTGGGTCCACCTGGTGAGAAAGGATCCAAGGGACAAGTGGGACTCCCAGGACCATCTGGACACAAAGGAGAACAAGTAAAGTGTTTCAGTAATGATGGTCTATCAAAAATTTTGTGGACTTCATCTAAATGTTTTATTTAATGAATATATCCACAAGATTCCATATTCAGATCATAGTGGAGGGATGAAGATTTTATACTTACAAATATTATAATGATTTTTGATTGCATGTATGCATGCTAATTATTATTTTTTACTAGTACATGTATGCATTGTTTGTGTTTATTGTTTTTGTTTGTAGGGAGCTAATGGTGCACCTGGTGCTGACGGAGGTCCTGGACAAGCAGGAAGTACTGGACCACCAGGACCACAAGTACCTTATGAATTTTATTACTTTATGAATTTATATTGCATAGGGTCCTCAAGGTGATCAAGGGTTAACTGGACAAAATGTAAGTGTTGCATGCTTACATTTATTTTTATTTATTATTATTAATTATTAATTAATTATAGGGAGCTAAAGGTGAAAAAGGTGAAACTGTAACAGTGACAATAACCAGTCCAGTTGGAAATGTAAGAGAGAGGGGGCGGGGACTGTCAATGAATAATTGTATCAATTCTTCATATCATTATTAGGAGGTCCCACCAGAGAGTGGACTGAAAGGGACAGAGTATTACATTGGTCAAAACAGCGATAAGGTTTTCAACGAGGGAGTCTTCACAATATACACGGAACTAGACTCCATCAAACAGACACTTAGAGAACTTTTAAAACCAAACGGGACACGATACAACCCAGCAAGAACCTGCTACGACTTATTTTTATGCAACCCTCAGTTCATGGAAGGACTCTATTGGATTGACCCTAACCTTGGATCCACTGATGATGCTGTACAGGTCTACTGCAGTAAGCCAGGCTGCTCCTGTGTGGAGTGTACTGATAGCAGCATGTCTACCATTGAAGAAAGACAGACTGTGGAGGTAAGGAAAAGAGGCTGTTCATGAGTAATGTAATACCTGAGGACTGAGATATCTGCTTGAGGTGAAGCTGAGGGCAGATATCAAGGGACTTGGGTACATCATGACAAAGAAACTATCTAAATTAGTATTTTTTTATTTTTTTATTTCTAGTTTGAGTGTCCTATTCCATATGATCAGTTGGGTATGCTGCAGTTGTTGAGTAGCAGTGCTCAGCAGAAGGTTCGGTATCATTGTGACAGACAAACACATCAAAATATAGAGGAGATGAGACTAGTGGGGACTGATGGGGAGAAATGGAGACTCAACAACAGGAACATCAAATATGAGACTGATGGGTGCCAGCTAGGATCTCTTAATGAGGTTATACTGATATTAGTAGTAGTAATAGTCAGGATTGATCAACTTCTACAGTATTGTCACCATAAGAATGATGTTAATATTCTCATTCAACTTCAGTAGAAAGTTTGTTCTTTCTACATTTTGTGTCTAGATTTGCTTTGGTCCTTAATGATTATGTTTTTGAGTGTACCATGAAATATTAGCTAGAGCAGTTACTTTAAAGTGTCCTTTTAGTATGAAAAGAAAATAATAAACTATACCTATTTACTCTTCTCTCTCTCTCTCCCTCCACAGGGTTCTGGCTGGTTTACAAAGCAGTACAGTAGCAGCATGTCCCTCAGTGGTAGCCCCACCTGGTTCCCAATAGCTAGTGTAGTCCCTGACCAGAGGAACAGTCAGTATGGAGTGGAAACAGGAAGAGCTTGTTTCTGCAATAGACTATAGTCCTTCTTTTATACATGCAAATATGCAAATGCCATCTTGGAAACTTCTTAAATTTATTTTCATTTTGTGTTTAGTAGACATTCTTGTGAAATGTGGTTTAATTCCTTTATAGTTCACACTGTCCATTATATACTAATACTAATACTAATACTCTTCAATCCTTATTGTACAGTGTGTCCTCTAGTTATTAACTTCATGTTCAACACAGTCTAGTGTGTAACTATTATTACTGGTCAACCTTTCTGTTTGTGTCTCTGTGTGTGTATCTTTATCTTTTATAATGATAATTAATAATACTGTAGCATGAGTGTACTGTCAAAATGGAACCAAAGGATCAATAGTTGCTGTAGAAATAGAAAGTTGACACTAATCATGCTCTGATGTCCTAACCACGTGATTACACGTGGGTGCATTGGCTCACAGTCTGGGTGTGGCTATTAAGAAGATGATCATTAGAAGATTTTGTTCACGAGCAATTCTATCAGACCTCACTGTCCCTCCTCCTAATCCACAGAGACTGTTAAGAGCAGCTGTGCTAGGACTACCTAATGCCGGGAAATCTACACTAGTCAATCAATTAGTGGGAAGAAATGTAATTAATGATAATAATTATTATTATATTTATTATTATTATTATTAACAGGTTGCTGGAGTCTCTCCGAAGCCTCATACCACAAGATCTCAAGCATTAGGAGTATTCACTGAAGGAGACCATCAAGTGGTTAGTAATTATTAGTATTATTATTATTATTATTATTATTATTATTATTATTAGGTATTAATAGATACTCCTGGTGTGGTTTCCTTACAGTATGGAAGAAAAATGAAGTTTTCAAAACCATTTGTGACTGGACCTAAGAGATCAACGGATGAAGCAGACCTAAGTAAAGCTCCTTCCAATTCATCACCCCAGTGTAGAAAGTTTGAGCTGATTCCGACTTTAATTTTTCAAGTTACGACCATTTAAAAAATTGAGCCAAAATCTGAAAAATACCCAAGGCTATAGTCCATGGTTTTTCCAAAAAATGGCTCCAAAACCACCCCCAATTTTTATTACATTTTCTGATACATATTGATGTCCTTATGCTATGTAGAAAGTTTGAGGTGATTCCGACTTTAATTTTTCAAGTTACGGCCATTTTAAAAAATGAGCCAAAATCTGAAAAATACCCAAGGCTATAGTCCATGGTTTTTCCAAAAAATGGCTCCGAAATCACCTCAAATTTTTATTACATTTTCTGATACATATTGATGTCCTTATGCTGTGTAGAAAGTTTGAGGTGATTCCGACTTTAATTTTTCAAGTTACGGCCATTTAAAAAAATGAGCCAAAATCTGAAAAATACCCAAGGCTATAGCCCATGGTTTTTCCAAAAAATGGCTCCGAAATCATCCCAAATTTTTATTACATTTTCTGATACATATTGATGTACTTATGCTGTGTAGAAAGTTTGAGGTGATTCCGACTTTAATTTTTCAAGTTACGGCCATTTAAAAAAATGAGCCAAAATCTGAAAAATACCCAAGGCTATAGCCCATGGATTTTCCAAAAAATGGCTCTGAAATCACCCCCAAATTTTTATTACATTTTCTGATACATATTGATGCCATTATGCTGTGTAGAAAGTTTGAGCTGATTCCGACTTCAATTTATGGAGTTACGGCCATTTTTAAAGTAGCAAAATGATACATGTGTTTGCTTGTCACAGATTCTGTGACAATGGAACTCAATGGGTCAGAAATCTGGCCAAGGACCATGTGCTTTATAGCTGTACTTGCCTCTGTGAGAGAACTCTCCATTTTGTATTATTTTAAATTACATTTTTAGTGTTGGTGATGATAGATGCATCAGATCGGTATACAAGATTCAAATTGAATGAACAGCTGCTAAAGATAATGAAAGAAGTGAACTTACCAACCTCCCTGGTCATTAACAAGGTAAAGTCCACCCATCACAATCACCTTAAGCATGAATGCTATTAAATATCTCTTCCATTACAATTGTCACTTAAAATCTGATAATTTCGCCTCATTAATTAATATCCATTCATAGGTTGATCTGTTAGGGTACAAGCAGCTGTTACTGAAAATTGTTGACAGCATCAACAGTCAGTCCACCGCCCACCCATTTAATGAGGTGTTCATGATATCAGCTCTTACTGGAGACGGGGTTGATAAACTAAAGGTGAAGTCCCTCCTACTACATGGACCATATATTATGTTATTCCAGTTTATTGTCTGTACTGTACATCTGCCATTATCTGGCAGTCCAGTATGTTTATATGAAGTGTCATCCAACTGACTTTACTCTATCATATTTCCAATTGGCACAAGTGACATTTCAATTTCAGATACATATGCTCTGACCTACTGTCAGTTGTTGCAGTAACATTTGAGACACTTTCCATTACACAATACAACTACTGGAGTTCATGCCCACACTCTCTCCCACATTTGATATTCAATCTCCCCCAGGAAATAGGATACCTTTGACACTTAAAGTCATGTGATACTGAACTACCTTTTGTAGATATGGTCTTATAGTCTAATACATAAATACTCCTACACTGTCTCTCTCTCTCCCTCTCTTTCTCTCTCTCTTTGCCTTTTATCTTCATCCTTTATGTGTCTAGTGACCATCCTTTTTGTCCCTCTCTTTCTCTCTTTTTATCTTAAAATGCATATCTTTTCATGTCTAGTCATTATATCCTTTTTATATTTCTCTCTCTCCCCCCCTCTCCTGCAGGATTATCTGTTAGATAACACTAAACCTTGTGATTGGTTATATGATGTACACACATACAGTAACCAGTCATTGGAGGATCAGCTGGCAGAAGTAGTGAGGGAGAAACTCTTCAAACATCTACACAAGGAGATACCTTATTCTATAAAGCAGGTAGCACAGTTCATGTATTGGAAAGGACTGAACTATGTCCTTTATATAGAGACTAGTTATATGTGAGGAGAGAGATGATGTCCTTTATATCCACAAGAAACTAACATGCACTAAGAGTAGCCAAGTGGTAAGTTCAAACACATGTATACTAATTAATGGCCACCATGACTCTCTCGATAGCTGAGTATTTAGTAGTGTATTTCTGGGTATTTTTGACGGTGAAAATTGTATTTTTGTCCTTGAGAATTACGGAATATTTTGGAACGAAATATTAAAAATAAAGATTGTAGATTAATGATAAGTTATTAGGTTGCAAATGATTAATGTCTGATAGATGCCTGATAATCAAATTGATCAATCTGTGATCTTTAAAGTGATAGTGTCATGACTATGCTGATGAAATTAAGTTAATGTAATGTGCCAAATCTGAGCCACTTCCTCTTGGAATATAGTCACTACATTGTAATATCATCTTCTAGTGACAGCATTAATAGGTTTATAGTCATAATTGAGATTAAATCACAACTTAATCTCATCTGCAATTAATGAATCATCAGTATAGCCTCTCTTAATGGACACTCTCTATAGCGTACACCTCCATTTAACGGACAGCACCTAGTGTACCAGTTACATTCCTTACTGTATAAAATAACCTCCACATAAAGGACACCTCTGTATAACAGAGACACAGTGTCCATTATATAGAGGCTAGTCTGTACATTATATTTATACTTATTTCATTTCTAGTCTATTGTGGTTGGTTCTGGTGGTAAGACAGTGAAAGCTATAGCAGATGAGGCCCAGTCTCATATGGAGTCTCTGTTGTCTCGTCCAGTCCAACTAATACTCTCAGTCAATCACTCGAACAAATAGAACCAATGTCATTATTTGTTATTATGATTTTATTGGACCTGTTGTTGTATTATATTTTGTCTGTAATGTAAAGATTTCATGCAAACTTGTCAGCAAACAGTCTAACTACTGAAGGTCCTTTTTGGGTAAAGCAGGAAATCTACCTGTAGAGTTGTTGAAGGAAATTTTAATACACAATGTCTATAGATCCAGTATTATAAGTTTCCTAGACTACACACTTTGTTGGCAAGGAGCTGTGATTTGGTGGAGCAGGTATTCCAGGAATTTGCAAGTCTAACCGCATCAGTACTTCCTCCACGTGGGCTCTGAATGTTGAATGAGCTTAAAAGCTTCAGCCAATTCCGTCCAGCACTCACTGGCTCTCTTTCCTGCTGGAGTCTGGACTCTTTTGTACTACAAGACTGGTGTGCTCCTCTCTATCTCTTGTTACTGTAGGATTCTTAATTTAACAGGAATGTACAGTAACTGGAAGGCTTTCTGTTGTGGTGGCCAGAGACAGCAGTACAAGATCTGGCGGTATTCATTGACTGATGAGCTGACTCTCCTCTTGTCTGTTGATAGGGCCAGACGATGTAGGATGTAGTGATGGAGGACATTGTCCTGTTAAGACACAACAGCCTCTGTTGTACAAGGTACATGTATTCATTGATTGTAGACTAGAACAGACTACAAGGTTTTATGGGATGGTTCTGGTCAGTCAAATGTGCTGCACCATTTGAGGTTTTTTGTTTCATTTTCTGTCTCTTTAACTAGTAGAAGAGACTGTCGTATCATAATTAGCTGTGGGTCACAGCTGTTTTTAAGAGGGACACTAATTAAATTAATAGTGTTTGCTTTTCTAACCAAGACTGTAGTCCAAGACTGCTAGCCAAGTATAATGTTAGTATAAATTGTTATTTTTATAGTTTGAGCTGGTCCCATGATTACTCAGATACCACAGGGATTTCCAGTGCTGGGTAGTGTGTCTTTTCGGAATACAGTCACAAACCAGACTGACCGGTTTCTCATTATAACCGGACTGACAGGTTTCTCATTCCGGAAGGGCATACTAACCAGCACTGGGTCCCAGACGGAAACCAGACGGATATGGTAACAGTACAAGTGCAGGAGGAAGAGGACATAGTGTCAGGAGGTACTTCACCTTTTAACGGACTTTAGATAAGTTGAAGTCTTTGATGTATAACAGAATTAGCTCATTAAGAAACCAGGCATGAGCTCTTCAAAGAGACTGCCCTTCTCTATTTTCAATATGTTCATTAGCTTGTGTGGAAGGAGGACATGAAAGTGTTCCTCTAGCCAAACCACACTACAAACCAGTGGGCAGGAGCACCTGCCACACTATTGGCATGTAACGCCAGTCACTATAGAGAGAGTAGCTGTGGCCAATATTGACTAGGTATGACCAGTACAGTCCAGTGAACTTTACTAATAATAAACTGATTAAAACTATGATATTAATAAAAAACTATAAATTATCATAAAACCTGTGCAACGTCAAGCAATAAAATAATAAGTATAATATCCACACATACACACACACACACTAATGAAGTTGGTCTATTTCTCTTTTTGTAGTAACATTTGGCACACGTCATTCATTGCCAAAGAGTGTGTACACAGAGGGGAATAAGGTAAATAAAAACTAGTGGAGTATAAGAGGCTACACTCCATCACTGCCAAGACTGACTCCATCTTCCTGGCATTCTTCAATATTGTGGTCCTCCCTAATCCTTTTGTACCAGTAGCTATTGAAATACTGAGAGTGAAGCTGACTGAGCCAGAATGGAAACCACTAGCAATTATGGACTCCTTTGTTAATTTGTAAGGAAGGAAGGCTGACCTAGAGAGAGAGAGAGAGAGGGCGGAAGAGAGAAGATAAAGACAGCATGTATTCAATAAATATGGCACACACACACACACACTATGGTAGAGGCTGTACTCCTCTATATGAAATGAGAGTGAGTATTTAGCACGACTAGCTGCTAATGAGGAGCTAATGCAGTCACAAAAGAACAGACAATGGCAGGCCATTTTTCCTCCCTCCAGTTTAAGCATAAAGACACATGTCACTGCATACCAACAGCAAATACCTTAGCACAAACAATACCAGTGTTTTTGACCATTTATGGTATAAAATGGACACAGGAAAAGAAAGATATAAGAATAATTATTGGGGGAGAGAGGAACACAATTTGGAAGGAATGCTATTGGTGGATGTTTGGGATTAAGTATTGTAACTAGGGAGGCTGTGTGGTAGACTGGTATGTAAATATTATAATGAGATTTATTATAATCTGTACACACAATAGTGAGTCAGCATGACACGCAGGGCGGGAAAATGACAATATTAGCAGCTGTCAATATGAAGCGGTTCTTACACATTAGTACCTATTAATAGTAACACTCTCAAAGGATACGCGACTAATAATAATATTTAAAGTATTTATACTATTTATCTTACCTTGCTACATTGATGACTAAACCACCAAACTGCTCACTCATGGCAGACCAGAATCCTTCACCGCCGATACCAATAGAAAGGTACTGCGGTAGATCCAGTGACCGTGGCTTATCTCCTTTTATGGTAACAATAAAACCATTTTTAATACCAGCTTCATTGAGTGAGAGAGTCATTGATCTTACCTGTACATGTGAAAGAAGTGTATTATCATGTACAAGTACATGATCAATCACAATGTCATTATAATGTATGTGTACATGTACATATAGAGTCAGGATATTGTGATGTCAGATCATGTATATCTATTCTACAACCCCCAGATACACACACTAGTACATGTACACGTACATAAACATGTACATGTAGACATTTCCCTATAATTACATGATCTATTATCGAATCATTGCATGTGTAATTCCCTTTATCTGTTTTGTGTACATGTACATGCAGTTATTTCCCTTTAATCCAAACAATAACTGTCCATACTTCCTATACCGGTACTGTATACACTGATACATGACCAGTCAAACACTGGTGCTACTATTAGTTTAGATTCAATATTAATTTGGCTAGAACCTCCACTGATAGATTTCCCCATACAACTAACAATACAGTTACTACTACTGACAGCAATCCTGTATAGTGTATACCTTTACTGAAGAACTCAAGTCAGGACAATATTTAAATATCAACTTCATGTATCCCATAGCAACCAGTACCAGGCCCATACCGATAACACACACATAGGGGACGTATGGTAACGAACCAGTAGACAGACTGTGGACCAGTAGACCAGTGTACAATAGATAGACGTGTGGGTATGATAGTACATGGTCGATGCTAAATTCTGCCGTTTTTAAATGTTGATATGAGTTACCACTCCTGCTGCAAGGAGAATGAACACTTATGTCACTGGGTAACAAAGACAAGCTCCATTGATAGATTTCATTTTGTTTTGACTGATAAACAACTCCAGCATATATAATGGAGAGTCCCATAGCAACCAGGACTAAGGGAAAGATGAGACTTCGTTTAAAAACGACATAGGCCAAGTGAGTGAGATATCCAAAGATATACAAGATGCCAATGGTCGTCATGAACTTTGACTGAAGTGGAACTGATAACAATATCAGTATCACTGAGTAGCCACACCCACTAATCATGAACCACTTTCCTCTGTGGAGAGTCCCCAGTATGACCACACCCATACAACCACACGATAACAAGTAAAACAGGTTTGACGAGAGGCAGAGAGAGAAACATATTGAGAACAGAAGAACGATAAACTGAACAAAGGATAGCGTGACACTTCTATTAGCTAGTATCATAGCAACTAGCGGTAACCCTACCCCAGCTGTCCATACATACCAAGATTGACCCAGCGAGGCTAATAATAAAGAGACTAGTACTGAAACTGTCATTTTATATAATAAAAATAATAAAGAGTTCAGACTTAGCTCACGAATAGTCACATATTTCAACATATTGACATGATAGAGTAGGACGGAGAGTGTCATTAAGCTCATTAGTAATTGAGGATCATTAATATCAATTATCCATAACGAGAGGGTGTGGTTAAATGAAGGTATGGTAGCAATAAAACCGAGATTAGTAATTAATAATAATAACGAATACCTTTCACTTTGAGCTATGAATATTAATGAGTACACATTAAATAATATAAACGTTACCAGTCCATTAATTATTTCAACGCTACCTTCCAATTTAAGGCCCTGGGCCAGTAGCGATACGACCGATAGACCTGTCATTAACCATAGTACCAGTGACCGATTGACCATAGACCCACGGTACGACAGGGTCTTCAGTAACATTAGTATCAGTCCCAGCGTACCAAAAACATGAAATGTGGTTCGTTGGAGGTGACTGCCAATAACGACGAGTGTGACGTTAATTAGAATAAACATAGAGTGCTTGAGATGATCGTTTGAGTCATGTTCAATTATGATTGAGAACCAAAAGGCTATCAGTCCGAATAGGTATAACCAAAACCCAAAGTCGGGTTCGGATCCTAACAAAGACTCCATCACTCGTCCACTAGTCATTAGCAATAACCCGAATACCATTGATACTAATCTTCTTAGTTTATAAAGGTCATCAATGGTAGACCATTGTGGTAGTAGTGGGGCCATGTCCATCGAGAGGAACCAGATACAGAATGAGATTGGAGCTAGGAGGAATGGGAATCGAATGATTGTTAAATATAAGAGACCAATTACAACTGCCGCTATCTCCATGACAACCCAGCCTGGTCGTACATACAGTCTGAAGTCTTGGAAGAAGCCAGGGTTCTCCTTAGGCCAGAGGTTAAGATACTTCTGTATCCAGTAGACAGTGTATGGTACTAGACCAGTGCTAATGGAGCACAGCCTGTTGGAATAAATAAAATAAAATAAGTATATTATTTATATTTATTATACAACTCCTACTACGTATTACTGCATTCAAACTGCTGGTCCATTAAATCATGTCCTTTCTGTGTTGGGTTACTCCAATAAATCCACCCCCAGTTTATTACACACAGAGGACCAGCTGGTATCAGGGGATCTCCCTCCAAAACAACGTATTATCATTCCAATACACACACCCACCCATTTATAGGTAATGTTGTTTACTGACAATGGAATATTCGACTATAAGTTGGTGCCAAATATCCTGCATACTTTGAATAGTTTAGATTCCAACACAGAAAGATAGCAAAGGAACAATGAGCAATATAAGGGAGTCAACGAGGAATAGGTTCGATTGGAGGAATAGCTAACTTTAAAAAATTGTAAAAAATCCAATTTTGATCGGAATCAGCTCAAACTTTCTATGCTACATAAGATCATGTATATGTATCAGAAAATGTAATAAAAATGGAGAATTCTCTCCTTTTCAATTTTAGCAAAACTTGGTCTGAGACTATGTACTATAGTACAGTGGCTTTGGCCTGATTTTGGAGCAACTATAAAAATTAGTATAAAATCCAATTGTGATGGGAATCAGCTCAAACTTCTGCACAACATCAGTACATGTACATGTATATGCATCAGATAATACATTAATCCAAAGGTATAGCAGTAACTTACAATCCTCCTAAGAACTGGTAAGATGTGTTCCATAAGTAAACTCCTACTCCTCCAAAGAGAGCAGTCTGTACAATCATTATAAGACTGATCCCTCTTTTATCACAACCCTCAAAAGCCAGAGTCATGAAGAGAGAGTAAGCACCAATAATCAAAAGAGACCCACCGAAATACAACACATTAAGCAAAGTCAGTTGATTGTACATTAACAGGAAGACACTGTCTCCTTCAGTACTAGTAGTAGGATCAGGCTCATTCCTCCTCCTGCTGATGGTAGGGCCACTGTTTAGTTCTGAAGCTAGTGAGAGAAGAGACGTGGTCTGGTCTTTATTGATGATACCACGAGATTCAGCAACTTTTAATAATGTAACTAGCTCATTAGTAGAGTTGGAGGAGACTAGACTGGAGTAGGATGAGAAGAGAAAGAGAAATGACAAGAACAGACCAGCAGCAGACATCATTAGATACACACCTCCTCTCTAGCCACACCTTGTCTTGGGCTATTAAAAATGGTGAGTTCTTTCTCTCATTCTTTATTAATTTTTTGTTAATTTCTGACATGATTTCTTTAGTCAGTGACACTCCACACTGACCTTGGTGATATTAAAATTGAATTATTTTGTGAAGCAGTTTCAAAGACTTGTGAAGTGAGAAAAATAATAAAATAATAATTACAATATTTATAATAGAATTTCCTTGCTCTTTGTGCCAGTGGATATTACAATGACTGCATATTTCACAGGTTTGGTCTGCAGCTGTTGCTTTGTATAATTATACCTCCCAATTTGTCGTATTATTTTAGGAACATTAAAGGGTTTATAGTACAGACTGGGGACCCATCAGGTAGTGTCATGTGATAGTCACAGTTTGATCATGTGACCCACAGGTACTGGTAAAGGAGGGACTAGCATCTGGGGCAGGAAATTTGAAGACGAATTTCAAGAAACTTTAAAAGTAAATCCAAGTTTAATGCAGAGCATCAATGCAAATAATCAAAAAATCTAATAAAAATTGAGGGTGATTTCTGAGCCATTTTTTGGAAAAAACCATGGACTATAGCCTTGGGTATTTTTCAGATTTTGGCTCATTTTTTAAAATGGTCGTAACTCGAAAAATTTAAGTCGGAATCAACTCAAACTTTTTACACAGCATAAGGACATTAATATGTATCAGAAAATTTAATAAAAATTCGTGGTGATTTCGGAGCCATTTTTTGAAAAAAACCATGGGCTATAGCCTTGGGTATTTTTCAGATTTTGGCTCATTTTTTAAAATGGCCGTAACTTGAAAAAATGAAGTTGGAATCAGCTTAAACTTTCTACACAGCATAAGGACATTAATATGTATCAGAAAATGTAATAAAAATTAGGGGTGATTTTGGAGCCATTTTTTCAAAAAAAACCATGGACTATAGCCTTGGGTATTTTTCAGTTTTTGGCTCATTTTTTAAAATGGTCGTAGCTCGAAAAATTTAAGTCTGAATCAACTCAAACTTTTTACACAGCATAAGGGCATCATTATGTATCAGAAAGTTAAAAAATTTGGTGTGGTCATTTTTACTGAAATTATTGTCATACTTAATTATTGTTATTACAATTATTAATATTTGTAGCACAGTGGGCGTGGCATCATATCAATGGCTAACAGTGGTCACAGTGACACCAATGGATCTCAATTCTTCATTACTTATGCTAAACAACCCAGTCTTGATATGAAGTACACCATATTTGGAAAGTAAGCAGGCTGACAACAGCACATTCATGTAACACTAGTTATAAAATCAAGGTTGTACATTAGTTATTGTCATTTCTCATTGGTAGAGTAATTGATGGAATGGATACTCTTGATGATTTAGAAAAGGTACCAGTTAATGATAAGAATTATAGACCAATTCAAGATATTTACTTAAGAAGAGTAACAATCCATGCTAACCCCATTGCTGACTAACTAACAGGTTTAATACCATTCAGTGTAAAAATTGGTTCATTTGCTCTTGCAATAGCAGCAGTAATGTTTATTTTATTAATTAACCTGGTTCAGTTGGATTGGTTCAGGCAGGAGGGTATGTTTTTCTGTGGAATTGACCAGTAGCTGCTTTGTGTATCTGCACTGCTTAAGTTTAAATCATCTTTGATATATTTGAAGTTTGTTCATATTTGCAAGTCATATTCGGACATCATAATTTGAAAGTCATATTTAAAAATCATTTGAAAATTGTATTTTGAAATCTCTTTTGCTGTGGATCATCTTCATCCTGCGGATCATCTGTTTCCTCTACAAGTATATCATTAATATCATTAATGGATGGTATTATCAATGGCACCTCCTGTTAGTCTCTCTCTTCTTGGAGTACAGGCCTGCTCTCTCTCTTCACTAGGTCCTGCAGTCTGAGGTTGAGAAACCAATCTGAAATTGGAGCCTGGAACCATGCAGCAAAATGGCCAAAAGACATTGGCAAGATTGGTCATGTCAAGCAGCCTGAACAGTCCAGTCATTGGCATTGTCCTTCAGTTTTGTTTGTCCTTCAGTTTTGTTTGGCCTTTCTGCATAGAAACTCTAGCCCCCCTGCCCCCCACGTTTTCAAATAATTTCATCTTGACCTATAATAACTATTACTTCAATAATGTTTAACAAGTTGCAGCTTCTGTCGTTTCTGTTGCTGACAGTTTTGAACATGTTTTAAGTTCCTGGGCTTAAGGGTAGGAGGATTACTTGCACTGTCCTTATATACTTCAGCAGGTAAAGCATCTTTAGTTGCAATGCTATGCAATACAGATGGACGTGTCCTGGTGTAAATACAGTTCCCCTTTGAGTTCCCATGACTGAAATTGACAGCCACTCCTTCATTGCCAAGGTAGTGCAAGAGCAGTTTTGGTATGGCCTTCGTACCAATTCTGATGCCACCTGCATCCGTCTTTTCTTCAATCTTCTAAATAAATAAATATAATCTGATCAATAGTGCAATTATAGAATATGTATCACCAAAAGCTTTTAATTATTTGATAAATCATTTCCAGTGTTTAAAATTCACAATTTGACTTACTGTAAATGGCTGGGCATATCATACCTTTATGTTCCTCTTCGACA